AAAAAAAAAAAAAAAAAAAGAAAAAGGGTTATATAGTCCATGAAAACCAAATTAACATCAAAGTATTATGACTATGTCAGGTGGTGAAAGCAGGAAGATTTCCGGTTTGAGGGCAGCCTGAACTACAGATATAGTACCCCAAGCTGTAGCTTCTGGAAAAGACTACTCACACACCTCGAGACATGAGATGCTCTTGTGACATTCTGTTAACAGTATGGACATGTAAGAGCTCATGAGTATTACAGTCAGAAATATCACTTTAATATTAACCAGCAGTCACAGAAACTGGAGGTGTGTTACAGTAAGCCTTACTTTCCCAGACGCAGGCTTTTTAAGCCAGAGATTACCTTTATTTGTAAGATCCTTCAAATTTACACCGGAAAAAAATAGTTACAGAATCCTGCTCCATACGGAGCACATGTGCTGTCTGTGAATCACTTTCATCTCCAAATCAGTAGGCTCTCCTACAGTGAAGTCTGTTTAAGCAACATCTGCTGGGTCCCTGAAAAGTGAGGTGGTTTCTCCCCAACTCCCCAACAAGTGGCCTTTGAATTTGTGGCCCAAAATCCATACACAGAAAATGTGGCCTTTGAGGCTGAGAGCGTGGGTCTCCTCTCAGCTGGAGAAGAAGCGTGCAGAAAGGAACTGGACTCTGGGCAGGAAGTGCCCGGATTTAATGAAAGTGACAACGACTGCTTCATCACTGTCAAGGCAGTACTGATGGAAAGGACACATTTTTCCTGTTCCTAATATTCATGATCAAAGCATAAAAGGAAGCATATGTCTTACTTGAATCAAGGCCCATTTGCTGTTTTCTCAATTACTCATTCTTCAGGGAAGTGGGATAGGGACGCACAAAATTCCACCCCAAAGCCATGCAGATCCTCAACCTTATCCGAGACTGTCCCGACGACCTTGGGGAATCACTGAGGGCAGACACTTGCCCTAGTACCTGCACCTAAGACAGTCAACAAACCCGGGCCCCCAAGTCTGGTGACTACTCAGCAGACGTTAAATGAGTCACCAAATGATTCAGCTGACTCTGGTATTTCTACTGCTCTGACCAGCACGTACAATGTACAGACAGCCTTTCCTCCAATCCAAATGACAGGCTAGTTACTTCCTAGCTTTGATTTGAAAATTGTATTAAGCTACTCAAAAAAGTGAGCTAAGAAGAATGCCTTATTAATTTTTCTAATGCTGTAGAGATGGCTTTATGGATACCAGTAATGAAAAAGAAAAATAATGAAAAGATTTCACTTTACACTGGCAAGTCCAAGTGTCCCCAATTCTGGGGACATCATCTTATGCTTCAGTGAAAGGCAGGAGGCAGGGGGCCAAGAGAAGGTAGGATGTGATTCAAACATGAACTCCAAGGAACGAAGCTCTCTGGGCTGACCTCAACTTGGTCTTATAAGAAAAAAATGCAAGGCTTCGTGATGTCACCTTCCCACCAGTCCTGGGCTGCAGGGACTTAATGAAAGTGAGGGACTTTAAGCTAACCAGGGAGCTCAACTGGTCCCAGAGGGCCCAGAGCCTAGAGTGCCCAGTCACACACAGGGAAGCTAAGTCTGGAGGGAGGACCTGAGCCTTGGTGACCCAAAAGCCACCCATGGCCATAACTGAACATGAGTTCATCTTACCTGGTCAAGGAAAAGAAGTGGATGTGGTGGATGTAACGAACTGAGTGCATAATGAGATTACACGGAAAATTCATCTCTCTGACTGAATTCACTCAGAATGAATCCCATTAGAATGAAACGCTTGTCATTTGTATGCACAAACACACACACAGGGTTACACAGATGGTGGGACAGTAACAGTAAATCCACAAGTAGTCCCCCTACATCTCACTTTTAGGAACAAGTCTTTCTGAAGTTCAGAAAAATCCAAAGAAACAGAAGATAAATAGTTGGGAGCAAAGATCAGGAGGATTATGAAGAGTGAGGATCAAGGTTCGAGGCCAGTCTAGGCAAAAAGTTAGCAAGACCTTATCTCAACCAATCAGCTGGGGTGGTGGCGCACACCTGTCACCCCAGCTATGCGGAAAGCACAGGTAATAGGACCTGTTCAGGCCGCAGGCAAAAACGTTGAGCCCTACCAGAAAAATAACCAAAGCCAAAAAGGGCTTTAGAGCTGTGGCTCAAGGGCCCTAGCAAACATGAGGCCTTTTTTTAATCTTCCGGTGCTGGGAATCAAACCCAAGGCCTTGACCATGCTAGGCAAGAGCTCTACCAGTGCCCCCCCTTCACCCCCTCAGCCTAGGAGGCCTTGAGTTCAAACGCCAGTACTGCAAAAAAAAGAGAAAAAGAAAGAGAAACAGGAGCCACGTTCTGCGGCAGAGGTAACGTCCAGAAGAAGGCATTTTTCTTCCTTGTGCCTACCTTGGCCTGAACGGCGTAGGAAGCCAGGAGCACCGAAGCCTCGGGAGGGCAGTAGACCTTCTCATCTAAAATCTGCTTCTTCACCTGAAAGGGCAACAAGGGAGCCGTGAGACCACACTGGCGGAAGAGCGCCATGCAGGTTGGGCCCGGCAGGTGGCTGCAGGATGTTCTAAGTGAGGGCTGCCAGTGCAGCCTGTTCACGACTTCCTGACAAAGGGGACAGTCTTTCACTGCTACACACAGGTGAGAGTTCAGTTACTGAGACCTGGCAACATGAGACATGGCTCACTCTCCTCTTCACCATCAACTAGAGAAAAGACAAGGTCTTGGTTACCAACAGAGACCAACATGGGTTGTGACAGAGAACTGTGAACTTGAGAAGAGTCAGGAGTGCTCGGAGGGCACTCTCAGCTCTGGAGGAAATGGAGTCTACCTTCAAGACCAAAGCCACCAAGGCCAGTGAGTTACGAGTGCAGAAAAAGCCATCACTCCCAACGTGCTGCTCTAAGGAAAAAGGAAGCAATAAAATTTGATCGATTCAACTTTTAAGTGCACGTGAGGTCCAGGAAATATAATTCCTATGCCATACTGTTGAATTAACATATCTCACTGCACTTAATTCCTTACAATGTTGCAGTGTGTGACATTCCAGACACAGAGGCCAGAGAGCCTCACAAAGTAGGGGCATGCCGAGGTAAACACACAGCAGAGCCAACTCTCTTTTCATAGCCATCAACAGTCACCATATTCACAAAAGTAGTAAATTCTGCCTTACTCAGTCACAAAAACACTCTAACATTTCAGTGTGAAGAAAACCAAGCCAAAGTCACACAAGGGTCAGGCACTGCTTCTTCTGAAATGCCAAAGCATTCTGGGGCCCAGGAGATCTTTCTGTGGCTTCATTCACAACACAAGAATTCTTCCCAGGTTTTAAAACTGATTTTACATTCTTAGAGAGAAAATAAAACCTGAGATATTTTGAAGCAGAGCAATTTTCAAATCCCTTGGTTTCTTCACCCCCTCCCCCCATTTCTTCTCAAAGGAAAATAAAAAAAATCTGAAAGGGCTACCCTTTGACCTGTAGGAAAGGTTCCATGTACTCTGTGTGTGTGTGTGTGTAAGCATAACAGCAATGTATATATAGCTATACATACACATATATAGCAGAACTGTTTTTGTAAAAGAAGTTATTCTGCTGAGCATGGTTACACACATCTGTAATCCCAGCTGAGGCAGGAGGATTGGGAGGTTGAGACTAGACTGAGTTAGATAGTAAGACCCTGTCTCAAAAAAAAAGTCTTTAGTGGGTTTGATTACATTTCACTTAAATTTACTGAACACAATAGACTGAGGTTCAAATTAATTACGAGGGCCATGTGACGTCTCCTTCTGGGAAATCATGCTATCATTTACCTCACCGACTGTGGGCACCTTTGGGCAGGTGGAGCAGCCCCAGTGCCGATTGGTGCCAGGAAACCGTGAGGCACTATGATCAAGGAGTAAGCAGGGAAGCAGAGCTGGCGAGTTTCCATCTCAGATGAATGCCCCTCCCCGTGCTCCTAGGTGGTCAGCCCACATTTATGGATCTAATTTCCATTTGGCTGAGCAGTTACTTGGGACTCACTGCGGCTGGCTTGTGAGGGGCTTACCCTGCAATGCCGAGCAAGAGTAGCTTGAGCAGGATGTCAAAGTACTGCAGGCAGGGAGCGAACCCAGTGTCACCCACAGGTGTTCAGAAGTACTGTCTTTGAAACTTTTTTTTTGGCAGTACTGGAGCTTGAACTCAGGGCCTCATGCTTGCTAGACAGGCGCTCTACCACTGGAGCCCAGAAATCCTGTCTTAGTGAGAGCCAGTTTTGAACTTTGCTTTGGAAGATCTGACTTTCTTGGCAATACAGAGTGTTTTCAAGTCAGCTAGGAGCAGCCAGGATCCCTCCGCATGGAGATTTGAGTTAGATCACACCTTTGTAATTTCATCTAACACCAATTCTCATCGCTCAGCAATAGTTCTGTGCAGAACATTTTTCCACTACAAAACCAAAGGGACTCACCAGATTTTTGCAATGTGGAGGTGTGTGTGGTCAACTCTGAGAGGAGTCCCCTAGGTGTGTGCGTGTGTGTTGGGGAAGGGGTATAGGCCAGCATACCTGCAGGAAGAATAAATGCTGCGTGATCTCCTGAACCAGCTCCTCCTCGGCATTCTCAGGATAAAATTTAGCCAGGAAGTGAAAAGTGACTGGTTCTTCCTTTGACACATCATGATCCAACACCTGCAGAATTGCGACACAAAAGACACCCATGCTGTGTGTGTTGACCCCTCTTCCTCCTGACCTACCATCAAAACACGTTTTGCACATATTCCCATTACATTCCTCACATTTCCCCAAAGCTATGCTTCTACAGTTGGAAGCACTCACAGAGCCATTCATAAGAAGAGGTAGTATCCACTTTACATGGGGGTTCTGAACCAAATTAATCAATGTTCCCAAGCAGCTAAGATGAAGACGCCAACATTCAAGACATGGAAATAGTTACACATGGGAAATGTGTAACACAAAGGTCTTGGGTGCTATCCTTTATGGAAGACTGAGGTTTTTTTTTAAATGATGTGAGGTAGTAGACTCTTCCTTTATTCTTTTTCTTGCTGCCCACCTCTGCTAGCTTAGAGACAATGAACTAGATTTCTGTGACGTCGCTTAGATGTTAACTGAGCAACAGCAGTGAAACGTGGCAACCCTTTGTTTCTAGGACCCTCTGGAGATGCCCAGAAAATGCTTACAGCGCAGCAAGTAAACTGCTGCCTTTCATCTTCTAACAATCCCACCCGCCCTCTGAAAAGCTTGAACCATCTGCTCTCCAGAGTGAATTTCATTTCAGGACATAAACATACCATGTGACGGCTACCAGGCTCCATTAACATGTGTCATAATTTATTTCCTCTGAGCAGCAGGTTCTATGGCTCCTGATGCCCCCAATCTAATATACACTTGGCCAACACTCAGATATGATTTAAAATTCACTTTACTGAGAATCATAAAAACATACTGGAAGTTTCGCTGTCCCTGATCCATGACTCTCCATGCTCCTGCTCAAATTCCAGGGGACAGGGCCCAGGAGATTCAGAATAGCATGATCTACGACACCCTCGCTGACATCGGCTCTCTGTGGTACACAGCTTCTCAACCACTGAGAATCACCATTTGAAATTTACAAGCAGCAGGGGTTTACCTACTGTGTACATATGGGACACCATTCGGACACCTCAGCTTAGAGTGACACTGGTAAAAGATAGCAGGCTTTCATTATCTGTCATGCTATGTGGTAGACAGTCACTTCAAGAGGACAAACCCCAGGGGGTACCATTTAAGGTAAGAATTAGACATTGGCTTACTTTGAGTTCTGGTGTCTTTAGGAGTGACTGACTAAAGTCTACGGCCCAGCTGCTCAGCTGTCTTTGTGGTTAGATGGACAATAGGTAAGCAAGTGTGTCACTGCATGAATATGTAAACAGGGGAGGGGGCTCCCCCAGGCCAGATCCATTTCCAAGCCACCTTAAAAATGCTAGGAGCCCAGACTTCATGTGCTTCAGAAGCCCTGGGGAATGGAGGACTCCACAGGCATTGTTCCTTAACCACAGGCTCTTTCTTCCTCAGGTGGCATGAATATTCATTCAAGTTGGGCTGGTGTTCTCAGAAAGACATGTAAAAATTCCCTAAGGAACATGAGCCCCACGGGAATCTTTCAAAGACATAACTTGTTTTTAAAAAAAAAAAAAAAAGTATAAGAAGATAGTAATTTTAACCCATAAAGCCAAAAGCAAGCAGGCTGGTGAAAAGGGCTGCCCAGGGTTTCATCTTGGTGATCCTGCTTATCTAGGAGAGCCTGTGAGGAGGAGAAAAACCCACACGACCTGCAGGACTGCTCTCTGCACAAGTTAACTCAGGAACTTGCCCCTTTCCTACCATGTCGCAGTGACACCTGGATGATGAGCAAATACACTAGCACTCATGCAGGGAAAAACCGAAAAGCTCATGCCCGCCTGCTGGTTTCATGGACTTCCAGCCCCACCTTCTTGTCCATTTTCAGCCAGGCCACTGTGTCCTTGACCGTGTACTGCAGTCCAAAGAACCACGTTTCCCGAAGCCCCAGAGTCCGGCACACCAAATCAAACAGGTCCTTTCCTTTCCACTTCATCTGCAATATAAAACCCAACAGGGAAGGATGTTGGTGAGCAAAAGCCATAATCCACTCGCACACAAAACTGCTCCTGGCACTTCCTACCGTCACTAAGATGGCTGCTGGGCACTGAATCCCTAAATCATTTTAAAGCTTCCCCCACAAAATCACGAGTGGGAAAGTACCAATTAGAGTTTAATGGCTTAATCACTGCAGAGCACACAAAATACCTCCCTTGGACAGTTCCTTACGGCTCTTAATAGCCCCAAAGCAGCTAATTTAGGAAACCTGGTAAATAAGCAGCCTCATTTAGGAGGCCAAGCCTCCTGAGTTAGCCCAGGGAGACGCCAGCTCCTCACTGCTAATTCCTTTGAGATTTTGCTATGGACTTTTCTTTTTTTTTTTTAAATCATGACCCTACCCTTTGTTAAAAGGCTAGTGTTTTTGTTTGTTTTGTTTTTTAAACTTAAAGTCTAGTTTTACCAGAAGTTTGGTTTTGGTTGTTGTTGTTTTAAATCTAGGGGAGGAAGTTGTAAGCAAAGGCATCAATCATGAAGGAAAAGAACCCAGAGAAACCAGACCATCCATTCACAGGTCTCTCTTCTCGCAGGGCCAAAGCGGTAGCAACTAGCCCAGTCACAGGGAGCAATTTCAAACTCTTAGTATCTAAACCAAGGTGATGAACAAACACCAGTCTACTGGGGTGTGTTTATTCTATAGCTTCACTTCCAAAACGACCTGAAGCAATGGCTTCTGAACCCTTTTCTCAGCAAGTTCAACAGCCACAGGGAAAGAGGATGCCGGGCTGCTTAGTACATGGTGCCACCTAGTGGCTCTCAAGTTAAATCACCCAGCGTGTTCCCATACTACCCCTTAACTACTGCTTGTCCCCTCCCAGCCCCAACTATCCCCAGGTTATCAGGGAGACACTCAAATACACACTTGGGTACAGTTATGATCACAAGGGACACACCACAGAAATGGTGATCAGAGAAACAGCAATGTTGAGACTCAAATGCAAAATTGCCTGGGAAGAAGGAGACCACTCAGCTTCAGAAGCCTCTGCCTTTCTCCTGTGTCCTCATTAGAAATCTCCCTAAGTCCTGGCCCACTGAATATGCATAGTGAAAAGGAATTTGGGAGGAGGGTAAGGCTAAAAGCTTGTTATAAAAGCCTCAGAAAACAAGTAAGCTAGACTCCTGATATCTGATTGACTTTTTGCTTAAAACCTGATTCTACAGGGGAATTTTCAAGTAGGCTTGCACACACACCCTGAGCTCGGGGCTGAACCCAGGGCCTTGAGCATGCTAGGCAAATGCTCTACCACTGAGTTCCACCCCCAGCTCCAGGCTTTCTATTTTTAACAAATGTGAGTGAGCAGTGTGTTCTCTGTGAGCACTCAACAGGAGAGGCCATCCTTTCTCTGTTTGCGCTCAAAGACAGCAACCTAGATGGAAGGACACCAAGGCCGCAGCAGACAAGTGGTTCAGATGCATCTCGGCTTTTGTCCTTCACTGAGGCCTTTCTCCTATCTGTCCTGCAACCTTGGTCCCTGTCCCCTCTTCCTATTGCAAGGCCCCTCGAATTCTACCAAGATTCAAGTCTTTAGAGATCATTTTGAATAGAAGAAAACAAATAAAATGAGTTTTATTTTGAGAAGATGATCCCCTTCCACCTTTGTAAGGCTGAATAACGGGCGTTTGACAATTGGACAACGGGTTTCTTAATTCACAGCAGGTTTTTTAATTCCTACAGGCAGACTTCACTGAAGAAATGTTATTTTGGAAAACCGGGAGGTCAGGACGCTGATTATCCCCCCACTCCCGCCCGTCTCCATTTTAAGTCAGCACACAGTCTATAAATTATAAATGGCTACCTTGCTACAAGATAATGTACCAGTAAAGAACGGGTATTAACTTGGAGAAGTTAAACACTCCAGGGCCGAGAGGGTGGAAGTAATGACTCCCAATCCACCATAACTCACGGCCACGGCTGCAACTGCGGTGTGTGGCACCTGGGAGAGGAAGCCCTCTAATGTGATATTGGATTAGTGCAGTTTTGCTGTATTCCCTTCTATTTCTTTGTTTTTAAAATGCAGAACTATCTTTGTGGAATGCAGAAAGACAATGTCTTGGCCCCCATGGAGCTTGCAATAAAGCAAGGAGGAGGGAAAGAATTCTCACAATTCAGAATGCCCTACTTAGATTTTTTTTTTCTTTTTTTACCTACTTAGACGTTTAACTTTGGTGCAAAGAATCACAGACTGTCAGAGTTGGAATAGCCTGAATAATTACCTACTATAGACCCATCCCTTTTTGTTATTATTTTTATTTATTTATTTTACTTAATTTTTTTGGTGCTGGTTTGAATTCAGGGCTTCACACTTGCAAAGCAGGCAAGTGTGAGGCCTGCTCGAGCCACTCCTCCAGTCCATTTTGCTCTGGTTATTTTGGAGATGGGGTCTCTCAAACTATTTGCCTGGGCTGGTCTCAAACCTTGATCATCCCGATCTCAGCCTCCTAAGTAACTAGGATGACAGGCATGAACCACCAGTGGTCAGCCTATTTATTTATTTTTCTGTCAGTACTGGGGTTTAAGTCAGGGCCTCACACTTGCTAGGCAGACGCTATACCACTGGAACCACGCTCACAGACTATTTTTGCTTTAATTATTGTTTGGATAGGGTCTTGCATTTTTGCTCAAGGGCACCTTTGGCCCTTCATTCTACCTATATCTCCATAGATGGGATTACAAATGCATACTACCACACCCAATTTGCTTTATTATGATGGGGTCTCGGTAACTTTTTTTGTCAGGACTGGTTTCAAACTGTGAGTCTCAAGATCTCCACCTCCCAAGAAGCCGAGACTATAGGCATTCACCACCATGCCCAGCCACATCCTTTCCAAATAAGGAAATCGAGTCACAGATTCACTGGCCTTTATAACAGTGATCCAAAGCAGGCAAATCTCAGTCCATGGGTGCCCTATCTGGTCTTATATTCTCTTTGCTCTCCACCCTCTCCAGTAAGTGACCAGGATCTGAAATGAACACCCTTCTCAGAAGAGTCAGATACAGCTCATTTACAGCTCATTTACAGCTCCATGCATTTGCGCCGATAGTGCACACCCGATAGTGCACACTGTGGGAGCCAGCCAGGGTCAGACACTGAGATTACACAATAGGAGAAGACTTGATAAAGCAAGGGAGGGCTGAGGAGGAAAGGAAGGAAATGTATCTTCTAAAAAAAGTCGCGATCACCACAGGGAACAATAAGGACTCTGGTGGACTTGAAGCACGGGGAGAACGGAAGGCCAGACCAGACCACTTGACTTCAGCAAAAAGCAGAGCCGAAAGGAGGCTGGACCAAGAAGGGCAGAGACGAGGCCACTCCAGCCACAAAGAGGGCAGTGGGAGAGAGGAAAGATGGAGTGGGAAGTGGAAAGGAGGCAGTCACCAACTGGTGCCTGAATGGACCAGAAGGAGAGAGAATCTAGAGAGACTCTGCATTTCTGGCTTGAGCACCACCAGGTGGTTCCAGTGAAGGAGAAGTGGAAGGAGAAGAAGCAGCAAACTGGGGGAAAGAGATGAGCAACGACATTGTAGACAAGGTTCGTTAAGCCGCATGAAGACAGCAGGTAGAACTGCCCTAATTATGTTTGATGAAAAGCCCTCCATTTATAAAAGAAACTTCTAGGCTGAGGTAGAAGGATCACTGGAGCCCAGGAGGTCAGAGTCAGCCTGGGCAGCAGAGTGAGGCTCATTGCAAAATAAAAAACAGGGCTAGCAGAATGGCTCAAGTGGTACAGCACTTGCCTAGCAAGTGTGAGGCCCTGGGTTCAAGTCCCATTACCAAAAAAAAAAAAAAAAAAGACCAAAAGCAAATGGAGTAAGAAAAAGTAAGATAAAATGTTCTGTCTTTAAGCACATTTCTCTTTGGTCAAATTCAACGTTTACATGCCATTACTATATGAGGTTGGACTTCTCAATGTGCCCTCAAATGCATGAGGCTCACTTAGTTTTCCTTATTTGGGTTTCTACTTCACAGGTGCTGGGGTAGGGGTTTAGGATCCTGTAGAAGGAGTTCTTAGATTGTGTACAGGCGAACTTGCCAGAACATGGCCTAGTTCTGTTTCATCCCTGGTCCACTGCTCTGTGCCGAGGCTGGGAAGTGGCGCACTGCCATCTGAAGGTCTTGCTGGAGGGGGTGCCTCCGACTAGGAGAGGCATTACTCATCCTCTCCCACAGCCCCTGGTGAGTGTTCGGTACTAGACACACAAACAGCGGTGTTGGACACACGACTGAGCAGACAACGACAAAGCCCAGGGCTCGGAGGCCTGGAGCAGTCTGCCCCACACATGCACTCCTCCCACAGATACTTATGTCTAAGCACCACCTGAAGTCCAGGGGAGAAATGGGGAGCAAGAGACAAGTCCCCATCCTCATGGATCTAGCACACAAGTCAGATGGGAATTGATGATCACCTCCTTCAGCCCAAAGAAGATCAACTCCAGGTCATGTAACACTTGTGAGGGCAAATGGGAGACCCCGAGTAAGGGGTGCCCCTACCCGGGACAGGGAGAGAAATGACACATACATTGACCTGTGGTGGGAAAGAGAAGCTGAGTGAAGACTGGGCTTGGGGAGAAGGAGCAGCCAGCAGGGAAGTGTGTGGCAGGCAGGGGAATAGTATATGCAAAAATCTAGAAAGCAATAAAGACTTTAGATGGTTCTTAAAGGAAATGAAAGTAGTATGTACAAACAGTCTGACCGGAGAATCCATCTGTATTTCCAAAAGAACAGCCAGGTATGGCAATACACACCTATAATCCCAGCACTCAGGAGGCTGAGGCAGGAAGGTCAGGCTAGACTACACAGTGAGCTCTAGGCCAGCTTGGACTAAGTAGTGAGATCTGTCTCAAAAAAACAAGCAAAAACAACAAAACCCTACCATGTAAACCCAGTTCTTTCCCACTTCTCACATCTGAACCACAGAACACAGAAGGTGACCTGGTGACAGTTTTCTCT